CTGAGTGGCCGCACATCCCCTCTCAGAATGGGCTCCTTCTCTCCTCGGTACCGGGCGGAAGGAGGAGCGAGCAGAACGAATCGGAATTAATCCCCTCAACAAGCAGCCCTGCTCTCCACAGCCAGTTGGCACCTCCCAGCAAGGGCTGCTTGGGAAACCGGCCCTGAGAGGGCGTGGGAGCAGGGCAACCACGCTAACATGGGACCCATCCTGTGCCATGGGCACTGCCCCACTGCAGGGCTCTGGTGGGAGCAAAGCCTGGGCACTGCCAAGCAGGTGAGCCACACCTGGAGACTCAGAGAGCGCTGGGAAATACCTTTGGGTCACTCACACTGAGAAAGAAAGCATCCCAGCCTCTTCTCCACCATCATCTCCATCCCAGCAAGCATCCCAGCCTCTTCTCCACCATCATCTCCATCCCAGAAAACATCCCAGCCTCTTCTCCACCATAATTTCCACCCCAGAAAACATCCCAGCCTCTTCTCCACCATCATCTCCATCCCAGAAAGCATCCCAGCCTCTTTTCCACCATCATTTCCACCCTAGAAAGCATCCCAGCCTCTTCTCCACCATCATCTCCATCCCAGAAAGCATCCTAGCCTCTTCTCCACCATAATTTCCACCCTAGAAAGCATCCCAGCCTCTTCTCCACCATCATGTCCATTCCAGCAAGCATCCCAGCCTCTTCTCCACTATAATCCAAGAATGCCAGTGTTCCCAGGACACGGAGCTGATGGGGTACCCATTGCTTCCAGCCTGGAATGAAGTGTGGCTCCACAAACCTCTGCTCTTGGAACAGGAAGGGAGGGTGAGGAGCCTGCCCAGTGCCTCAGAGAAGGAAAAAGAGGGGCATGAAACCCCCCCCTGCACCCAGTGACAGGCACAGCACAGCAGGGCTGGTCTCATCTTGGCTAAACCAGGCCACAGGAGTCAGAACCAGCCCAGAAAAGTCCAGAACTTTCAAAAAAAAACCTGAAAAGAACATTGGTGGCATCTGAGGAACAGAGGGTACATGGTGTTTTCATTCACTGACTCTGCCAGGCTCACAACCCAAGGGGAGCAGAGGTGAGCTTAAGCTGCTCTTGTCAGCCAGAGGTGAAAGGGGCAGAAAAAGGACATAATCTAAATATTAACCATTGTTTAAAAAAAAAAAAAAAAACACCCAGCATTCTGGTTAAACTCAGTATTTAATATTACGTCAAACTGGCTCAGAGTTTGGAGTTAGATTCAAATCCCAGCTCAATTCCAAGTTATTGCAAAAGCATCTGGGTTCTGATCAGGGAGCCTGTGAGAGCTCAGCAGCCTCCAAGTCCTGGCCAGAGCAGTTTTTAAAACCTCCCTGAAGAAGATCCATCTGTGAGGGGTAAAAGGGGTCTGAGTGGATCAGGACGCTTCCTACCAAGGATCTGTGCTGGATCTTTGCAGGAAAAGGGGCTCAGAATGCTGTGCCAAAGAGAAAAGGACAGAGGGAGAAAGATGCAGAATAAACAAGCCCTAAGAACATTAAAAAAATGGAATTTATCCATTTTCAAACTTTGACCTCTTTTCTGCTCTCCCCACAACTTCCTGGGAAAATTCAAGCAGGCAACAGAATTTCTTCAGCTTGTCTCTGTTGCAAGCTTTCCCCCAATTCCCTTGCAAGCTGTCTTGTCAATTTGGATCCATTATTTGGGAAATCTTTATGAGATTGCTCAGAGCAACAGCAAGCCCTGCAGCCTGGAACTGCAGAATTAGGAGCTGCACAGATTAAGGAACTAGGATAAGATGTAGGCTATATCAAAGACAGAGATTTTACAGTTAACTGTGCTTCCCTATTTCCTCCATTAGATATGGTCTCTGTGTAAATCATTTCAATTTACAGCTCTGTAAATGTAAATAAGTTTGATTTATTTGGTTTTTTTGTGTAAATAGTTTTTTATTGTCCCTTATAAATTGCCACTCACTTCCCTCTCCTCCACTTGCAACCTTGTTTTCCATGCTCTCCTCTCTTCAACAGTTTCTCTCCTCCTTAGGCTGAGTCTAAGGACTGATCTTTCCTCTGCCTCAGTAGCTTAATTTTTAATTAAAACACACTTTGCATCTTTAAACCTGATGGGTGCCTCGGACACAGAACAAGTCCTTGGATCAAGAAGGGACAGGCTCATGAATTTGGGGTTAATTTGGTGGAAAATCAAGGTAATTAACGCATAACTTTGTCTCCTTTCAGTGATTATGGGGTCTCTTATGTACACACATCTCACCCAAATCTGTGGCTCAATTCCAGCCTTCCCCACCCCTGGGATTATTTTAAATTGAGCACAATTATTTGGACCCTCTGTCTGAATTAGCACTTTCACAGAAGTGGTGTTTCAGCATCTGAGCAACTCAGACTTAATTCACCACCTCTGTTTCCCCTCGAGGTAAGAAAGGAATTCTGATTTCACAAATAGGACACAAGTGACTCACCCAGCAATCAGCAAGCAAAGAACCGAGCCCTAAATTCACACCAGAGTGTGCTGTGCCCTTTCCAGCACATCCCACTAAATTCCTCCACCTCCAAACACCCAGAAAGGAGATTGTTACCCCAAAAACGAAGCGAGGCTCCCTCTCAGCCCAGCCCAGGCGTGGCAGAGACAGAACTTACATGGATTTGCAGAGGGAAAGTTTTTTCCTCAGGCAGGAGACGCAGGGGTGGCACACCTGCCTGGCCACTGTGCCACAGGATGCTGTGCCAGGGTAGGGCTTCTGCACCATGGCAGCACCTCCAGGCAGGCAGCAGCACTCACAGCTCCAGAGGAAGGGTTGCCAGAGAGCCCCAGATGCAGCCAGAGCAGGGAAAAAATGTCCAGTCTGCTCCTAAAACCTCCAGGAGCTCCCTTGGGAATGCCTCGCTGAGAAAGGAGCTCCACCAGCGGTGCCTTTGGTGAGGATCCTGCCTGGGAGGATTCCAGCCATCCTCACCTGTGTGTTCTTTGTTTTTTTGGGTTTTTTTTAATCTCAGAATCAGCTCAGCCCTTTGCTTTTGGCTGGGGCAGCTTCTCTCAGCACTGTCCCAGCTCGTTCCCTGCTCTGAGCATCTCGGGCTCCTCCCGTTCCTGCCCTCCTCTGGGATGCCAGGGCAGCGTGCCAAGGCAAGGTGCACCTTCCAGGGCACAGCACGTGGCTCCCTGCCCTCCTTTCTGCTCACATCCTACAGCTCTGATGAAATCCTGGGTGGCTGTGGGGTTTTTAGGGTTTTTTTTAAGAGCTGGTGTACAATAGTCAATGGGTAAGGGACCAGAACTGCCTTGGAGTTCTTCAAAACAAAAGCTCAGAGCTTCAAATCTGTGCTTGGAGGAATCTTTGTTACTGGTAAAAAAAAAAATACCACTAAAAGCAGCAAAAATAAATGCTCCTCATTCAATTTCTGGGGGAATCTAAAATATTCAAATGCCTCAGAAACAACCTTCACCTGTATTATTTATAAGAGCAAACCACTCTGTCAGCTTTCTCACTAGCTCCTGTCCAGTTTACATTAAAAAGTGTGTTTGAGTTACTTTTTGGTGAAGTTTCATGAGCACAAACCACCAATATCCCAAGGAAGACTGTCCCAACGGAGGCTGAGGGAATTACATCAGCAAATGAGACCAAAAATCCAGGAGAAAAGATAATTTACTATCCCTCACGTGGATAATTTTAGGATCCACGCAAAGAGAGGTTAATTGTAATTAAATTTAGGCAGCAGGAACGTTGCTGGTTCTAAAGATAAGAGGTCAGTAGGCTCAGCATTGCTTTGGCTTTGCATAAATAGTTTTGAGATCTGCCTGTGCTGCTGAAATCTGCTCCTTCCAGCCAGGAAAATATTGTCATCACCAACCTAAATGCTCCTTTAAAATCCATCTGAAAGGGGCAGCACCTCCAAGTGATTCCTTCCTGCTACACCCAGAACTGTGTTAACAAATCCTGTTTGAGCTGTGAAATTCCAGCTGAAATGGAATTTCACCTCACCCAGAGGTGATGCCCTCAGAACCCCCTGCTTTGCTGTCCCACTCTATTTCCTGCAGCTACCTGTCAGTCAATTAGGGATGTTTTGTTAATTAGTCCAGGCTCCACAGCCATGGTGAGATGGATAATTGGAGAAAAAGGTGAGCTACAACTCCCAAGTGCTGATTCTGAGCCAAAACCCCTCGTGGGATGTGGAATTTTAATTTGGGATATTAATTGGCTCCTTCTAGTCGCTCTCAAGTGAATCAGTCCCTGCTGTTTCAGGGGCTGGATGCATCTTCTCACTTTCAAGCTGATGAAAAATGCAGTTTTTAAACCAACATAAATCACATTTCTTCTTAGATGGCTCTGAGAAGCACAAGGAAAATAAATCAATGATAACTCAGGGCTCACAGCTCATGCCCAGCACAAGAAAACTCAGCAGATTCAGGCTCAAAAGTTGACCTAAAGATGCAGCAAAACTCCTCATCATGTGGCTCTGAGCAAAGCAACATCCATAAATCATGCCCCAAAATGAACAACAAAAATCAGGTTTCCAACACCTTTTGTGCCAATGCTGCAATTTGAAATGGTCATTAATCAACCCAAATTAAAGTTTCTTCTGGAACTTCACAGCAGTTCTCACCCAGGTGCTGCACACAAATGAATCCAGCTTAAATCTAGAGTGCAGGACTGCCACGACACATCAAAAGTGAACAAAACAACCAAGCTCAGAGGTGTCTGCTGAGGACAGGATCCACCCAGGAAATTCCATTTGTGGGTTTTGAAGGATCAGAGGGGCTAATTTCCAGCACACAGCACTTCTGATGTTGCTGCAGCAGCTGGAGTTTGGGGAATGAGCCCCAAAAGAAAATTCTGGCTATTTCAGGAGTTGGATGCACTGTCCCAGATTTAAGTTTTCAAATTCAAATTTCAAATTCAAAAATGCAGTTTTTAGACAAAAATTCTGGCTGGATTCATTGTCCCATGTTCCAGGGGATGAAAAATGCACCTTTTTAGACATCGCTAAGACCAATTCAAATCCCATATTTTGATTTTTTTTTTTGTGAAGCAGCTGTGAGAACTAACAGGAAAACCAATCAGCTGAGCAGGTGTGGTTTCACAGGTGCTCCCAGGCACAGACTCACCTGTCCTCGGGCACGGAGGGGCTCAGGAAGCGGGCAGAGTCATCGTCGTGGCTGCTCTGCTGGCTGCTCTGCTGGCTGCTGCAACACAGAACGGGCACACTCAGAGCTGGGCAACCTCCTGGGACACTCAGCTGCCCCCCCAGAGCTCACAAAACGGCTTTGGGACCTCTGGGACACTCAGCTTAAATCCAGATCACAAAAAAAACCACAGATAGAGCTGGGTATCTTCTTCTAAAACACTCAGTTTAAATCCAGATTGAGGAAAACACAGATAGAGCTGGGTATCTTTTTCTAAAACACTCAGTTTAAATCCAGATTGGGGGAAACTGATCTGTCTGACTCCTCTGGGACACTCATCTTAAATCCAGATCACAGAAAACACAGATAGAGCTGGGTAACCTCCTCTAAAATGCTCAATTTAATCCAGATTGGGGGAAACAGATCTGTCTGACCTCCCCAGCGACACTCAGCTTAAATCCAGATCACAAAAAACACAGAGCTGAGTATCTTCTTCTAAGATTGAGGAAAACAGATCTGTCTGAGCTCCTCTGGAACACTCAGTTTTAAATCCAGATCATAGAAAACACAGATAAAGCTGAGTAACCTCCTCTAAAACACAGTTTAATCCATCTTGGGGGAGATAGATCTGTCTGACCTCCTCTAGGACACTCAGTTTAAATCCAGATTGAGGAAAACACAGATAGAGCTGGGTAACCTCCTCTAAAATGCTCAATTTAATCCATATTGGGGGAAACAGATCTGTCTGAGCTCCTCTGGGACACTCAGCTTAAATCCAGATCACAAAAAACACAGATAAAGCTGGGTATCTTCTTCTAAAACACTCAGTTTAATCCAGATTCAGGAAAACAGAGCTGTCTGAGCTCCTCTGGGACGCTCAGCTTAAATCCAAATCACAAAAAACACAGATAAAGCTGAGTGACCTCCTCTAAAACACTCAGTTTAATCCAGATTCAGGAAAACATATCTATCTGACCTCCTCTGGGACACTCAATTTTAAATCCAGTTTGAGGAAAACACAGATAGAGCTGGGTAACCTCTAAAATGATCAATTTAATCCAGATTGGAGGAAACAGATCTGTCTGACCTCCTCTGGAACACTCATCTTAAATCCAGATCACAAAAAAACACAGATAGAGCTGGGTATCTTCTTCTAAAACACTGTTTAAATCCAGATCACAAAAAACACAAATAGAGCTGAGTATCTTCTTCTAAAACACTCAGTTTAAATCCAGACTGGGGGAGATAGATCTGTCTGACCTCTGGGACACTCAGTTTTAAATCCAGACTGAGGAAAACACAGGTAGACCTGGGTAACCTCCTCTAAAACAGTCAGTTTAAATCCAGATTGGGGGAAACAGATCTGTCTGAGCTCCTCTGGAACACTCAGCTTGGATCCAGATCACAAAAAACACAGATAAAACTGAGTTACCTCTTCTAAAACACTCCATTTAAATCCAGACTGGGGGAAATAGATGTCTGACCTCCTCTGGAACACTCAGATTAAATCCAGATCACAAAAAACACAGATAAAGCTGGGTATCTTCTTCTAAAACACTCAGTTTAATCCAGATCACAGAAAACAGAGCTGTCTGAGCTCCTCTGGGACACTCACTTTAAATCCAGGTTGAGGAAAACACAGATAGAGCTGAGTAACTCCACTGGAGCACTCAGCTGTAAACCCAGACTACAGAAAACATCTTTGTGACCTCTGGAACACTCAGGTTTAAATACAGATCAAGGAAAACACAGACAGACCTGGGTAACCTCCTTTGGAACACTCATCTTAAATCCAGATTGAGGAAAACATCTCTGTGACTTCTGGAACATTTAGCTTTAAATCTAGGTCAAGGAAAACACAGAGCTGAGGAAGCTCCTCTAAAACACTCATTTTAAACCCAGATTACAACAGTTGAAAACAGCTTTGGACCTCTGGAACACTCAGTTTTAAACCCAAATTGAGCTGGGTAACTCCTCTGGAGCACTCCGTTTAAATCCAGATTACAGAAAACATCTTTGTAACCTCTGGGACACTCATCTTAAATCCAGATGGAGAAAAACACAAACAGAGTTGTTTGACCTCCTCTGGAATACTCAGCTGTAAACCCAGATTACAGAAAACATCTTTATAACCTCTGGAATTTTAAATCCAGATTGAAGAAAACAGATCTTTGTCACCTCTGGAACACTCAATTTTAAATCAGATCAAGGAAAACACAGCCAGACCTGGGTAACCTCCTCTGGAACATTCAGCTGTAAATCCAGATTACAGAAAAGTATTTATAAACTCTGGAACACTCAATTTTAAATCCAGATCAAGGAAAACACAGCCAGACCTGGGTAACCTCCTCTGCAACACTCAGTTGTAAATCCAGATTACAGAAAAATATTTATAAACTCTGGAACACTCATCTTAAATCTAGATAGAGAAAAACACAAACAGAGCTGTCTGACCTCCTTTGGAACACTCAGCTGTAAACCCAGATCACAGAAATCATTTCTGTGACCTCTGGAACACTCAGCTGTAAATCCAGATCACAGAAAACAACTTTATAACCTCTGGAACACTCAGCTGTAAATCCAGATCACAGAAAACAACTTTATAACCTCTGGAATACTCAGCTGTAAATCCAGATCACAGAAAACATCTTTATAACCTCTGGAACACTCAGCTGTAAATCCAGATCACAGAAAACAACTTTATAACCTCTGGAACACTCAGCTGTAAATCCAGATCACAGAAAACATCTTTATAACCTCTGGAACACTCAGCTGTAAATCCAGATCACAGAAAACATCTTTATAACCCCTGGAGCACTCATCTGTAAACCCAGAGGGAGGAAAACACAACACTCACGTTCCACATTTGGGCTTGAAAGGAGGAACCAACAGGAGGCCTCGAGTTTAAATTGATTCACAACTAGCACGAGAGTTTGGGGTGTCAATCTCAAGGTGTGACACTTTCCTGAGAACTTCCTGAAACACAAAAGTGACCTTGCACATCACCTGGACAGCAGCTCATCAATTCTTACAGCCAAACACCCCAGCCCCAAGCTGCTGGGTGTTTACACCTGCCCCAGTCCTGGGCAGAAGTAGAAAAGAGCAGAAAAAAATCAACTTTTCAAGCAGCCAGTGCTGAATTTCTGGCGAGACTTGCAAGCTGAGCCCACAAGATGTCACTGTGCCCCCTGAAATGGGCGTTTTGGGGGCGATAATTGAATTTCCTGCACATTTATCCTGTGGAGTTCTCCTCAATCCCCCTGGGGCAGCTCCAGGGGGTTCCTGCTGCAGCTGATTCTGCCTCCAGGTGAGGCTGGAGGGGCTCCTGGGCTGGATTCCATCCTGAAATCTCAGCAAAGCAGCAGCACAAACTCCTCTGCGAGCTCAGACTGGGATAAACGTCTCTGCTGGCAGGATCTAAATGATAAACAAATTTATTTATGTATCACTGCTCGCACTCACAGCTCGGCTGCGCTGCACACACACCTGCACATCGCNAAACAGTACCAAAACTGCAAATAGCACGTTTCCATGAAGTGTACTGATTAGACTTGATCACTGATAAATTAAATTGATAATTAAAACAAAGGGACGGGTTTTCTCCTCTCCCTTCTGTTTTTGCCAAAGAATTTGCAGTTTCTGGCAAGGAATAAATCTTAATTTCATTTAGTATTTTCCTCAACCTCCTTGATTTTGACCAGCTGCTTCTCTGGGGCCATCAAGGGCTCCACCTTATTAAAAATGACCTTTCTGAGAGCGCAGCACCTGGCCTGGGGACACATTTGGCATTTGGGAGACACCACCTGGCATTGCCTACTCTTTGTGACACTCCAGAGCACGAGACAGGACATTGTTACAGTCCTGAGAGAAGGCTGAAGCTTGCAGAAAAGTGAAATTAGTGATCAACAGTTGTAAAAATCCTTGGAAAAACCAATATAGATCCTTGGGAAAAAAATCCTTGCAAAACCAATTTAATCAGCCTCTGAGGCTGGGCTTAGGAAAGCACAAAACTCCTGCAGCAAGAGAAGGAGAATTCTGCATTGGCTCCCAGCTGTAAATCAACAGCTGGGGAAGAACAATGCATTCCTAAAAGCAAATAAAACTTTTTCTTGCACTTCTGAGCTTCATGATGGCCCAGGGGACTGGGCAAGAGCAGAGAGGGAACCACATTTACCCTCCTCTGCCAAAGGAATTTCCCCTTTTGCGCAGAGGAAGCACTGCAGGGATTATTTCTCGAATTTCTTGTTTCTGCAGAGAAAACCCTCCCGCCCAAACTTCCCATTTCAGCTGAGCTGGAGCAGATGGAAGCAAACTTACCCAAGGAGAATTCCCAGACTCTCCCAGCCCAGCAGTGCTGGGAGCAGCACGTGCAAACTGCCTTTGGGACAGCCACAATGAACCTTAGACCTCCTCCTGTTCATCCACCCCATAAAGTTCACGTTCCAAATGAAGGTTTAAAATTTAACAGGAGCCAGGAATTGCGGCTCATTGAAATTCAGCCCCTCATATCCAGACTGTGAGCAATTAAAAACTCAGAGAAAAAAATCACTTTTTACCCACCTGTCCCTCCAGAAAGCTGTGCTTTGCATAAAACTTCGGGAGCTTTTCACACAACATAAAATTATTTCAACCTTCTGGCTGTTAGGCAGTGAAGTTGTTAAATTCACTAAAATGCTCAGAGTGGTTGAAATGCAGAGCCTGTTGTCTTTTTGTGATGTTTTTCAGTCCATTTGAGGATAACCTGCTATTAAGTGTTCCTTTAGAAGAGTATAGTGACAATTTAAAATATGGGATAATGAAAGGAGATGGGATCTGTTCTGAGGAATAACAAGGAAAGAAGTATTCAGACAATTTTGTAACCACAGAGAATGTCAAAAAAGCTGGCTAAAACTCTCAGGAAATGAGCAAAACAAGCTGCTCTCATTCCAAAGCTCAGCAGTGATAAACTTGAATTTGGACAAGGTTTAAATCTTCAGCCCAGGGTGCCCCTTTTGTCCCTATAGCTTCTAAGAAAATGAAAATAAGGTTTGTGCCCTGTGATTTTTCCTTAATTCTCATGC